TTTTTAACATTTTTTTAAAATTTAAAATGGAAAACATACATTGAACATTATAGAATGTACGGTACAATGTAACAACCAATATCCTACATCAGTACATCATAAAGAAGCAAGTGCAAGTACTTACCTAACCTAACTTATTTCAGACTTACCACTATAAATTCAAGTCGCAACGAATGGAAACCCCTTCTACAGAGCGGGTGGCGAAGTCACAGATTATAAAAGAAGTATAGGTGAATAAAAATTAAGTAGGTATAACAAAAATCGCCGCCAGTCGATTGGCGCCAGTCGCTGAAGTCGCCAGTATACTTATTATAATAACTTAAGTTATTCGAATTTGATGGCCGCGGCCGTTTCGAACAACTTGACCAAAGGAAATTTTCTTGTGGTATCTTAGATACTTTTTGGTATCTAAGTTACTTTTTGGTATCTAAGTTACTTTTTGGTATCTAAGATACTTTTCGGTATCTAAGATACTTTTTTTAAGTTACAAGATACAGTTCCTTTTAAAAAGTATCTAAGATACTAGATACTTTTTGTTAAAAAAATAAAGGAACTCTAAAGTAACTAAGATACTTTTTTCTGACAGCTCTGACCAAGTACTCACCCTTGGATATGTTCATGACTTCCAACTTTTTCGTCTCGTTGTCGTACATTTGCTCGAGAGTGGCGTACCTCTGTTGGAGGAGCTTTCCCTTGTCGGGCAGGGCGTTCAGATTGATGGTTCTTAACGTGTTTTTGGCTTTCAGCAATTCCGATTGAATTTTTTGCAACTTGTTCCGTTGCTCCATATACTCCGTTGGAGTCACGTCCAACGAAATTGCGCTCCCGTCCGATGAGATCGTGTTTAAGTCTTCTAAAATTGTTTGAAGAATATTCTACATGATCTCTGTAGAATGTCTACATTCACATAATAATACAAGAAAATATTGCAAGAAATCAGATATGTATAGGTATATGTCCTAGTTTATTTTATACTTACTGGATTTAAAATAGTAAAGGAAAAAATACTGGTGACGCCAACTATACTTACTACTTTACCAGCTAAACAGGCTTGATAAGCTAATTTAGCTAATAATTAACCAGTAATTAACTATTTCCGCAATCTATATAATAGAAATGGAAAAACACCTAAAGATTTAAACTTCTGAACCAATTTATTAAATTTTTTATTTTTTAGTAATAATACTTAATAATTGTAATAGGTTATAGAATAAAAGCTAGCTATGACTCTTAAGAATGTCCATTGGGAGCTAGATATAACTATCTCAAGAATGTCGACTTGGAGCTAGCTATAACTGTCTTATAAATGTCAATTAAGGCTAGCTATAAATGTCTTGATAATGCAAATTTGAGCTAGCCATAACTGTCTTAAGAATGTCGATTTGGAGCTAAATATAACTTTCTCAAGAATGTCGAATTGGAGCTAGATATCTGTCTTAAGAATGTCAATTTAAGATAGCCATAACTGTTGTAAGTATGTTGATTTGGAGCTAGATGTAACTATCTCAAGAATGTCGATTTAAAACTATAATTGTCTTAAACATGTCAATTAAAGCTAGCTATAACTGTCTTAAGAATGTCCATTGGGAGCTAGATATAACTATCTCAAGAATGTCTTGAGAGGCAGGTATAACTGTCTTAAAAATGTCAATTAAAGATAGCTATAAATGTCTTGAGATAGCCATAACTGTCGTAAGAATGTCAGTTTGAGCTATAGCTTGTGGGTATACCCATGACTGTCTTAAAAATGTCGATTTGGAGCTAGATATAACTATATCAAAAATTCCGAATTGGAGCTGGCTATAACTCTTAAATATGTCGATTTTGAGATAAATATAACTAAAGCATATTGAGGTTATGTCGAGCAGTGAAGAAAAGGAGGAGAAAGATTGCCAAATAACATTAAAACAAAAAAGAATGTCAATTTGGAGCTAAAAATGACTATTTCAAGATTGCCAAATTGTAGCTAGCTATAACTGTCTTAAAAATGTAATGTAAATTAAGGTTAGCTATGTTTTGAGAACGTCAATTTAAGCTAGCCATGACTGTTTTAAGAATGTCGATTTAGAGCTAGATATAACTATCTCAAGAATGCCGAATTGGAGCTGGCTATAACTCTTAAGAATGTCGATTTGGAGCTAGATATAACTATCTCAAGACTGTCAAATTGGAGCTAGCTATATCTGTTTTAAGAACGTCAATTTAAGCTAGCCATTACTGACTTAAGAATTTCGATTTGGAGCAAAATATAACTATCTCAAGAATGTCGAATTTGAGGCTCAAATTTTGAGCTAGCTATAACTGTCTTAAGAATGTCAATTAGGCTAGCTATAACTGTCTCAAGAATGTCGATTTGGAACTACATACTACTGTCTCAAGAATGTCGACTAAGAGATAGCCATAACTGTCTTAAAGGTCAAGATATAACTATCTCAAGAGTGTCAAATTGGAGCTAGCTATAACGATTTTAAGAACGTCAATTTAAGCTAGCCACAACTGTTTTAAATATGTCGACTTAAAACTAGATATAACTATCTCAAGAATGTCAAATTGGAGCTAGCTATAATTCTTAAGAATGTCGAATTGGAGCTAGCTGTAACCGTCTTAAAAATGTCAATTTAAGATAGCAATAACTATTGTAAGACTGTCGATTTGGAGAGAGATATAACTATCTTAATAACGTCGAGTTTGAGCTAGCTATAACTGTCTTAAGGATGTTGATTTAAGATAGCCTTAACTGTCTTAGGAATATCAATTTGAAGCTAAATATATCTCTTAAGCTATAACTGTCTTAAAAATGTCAATTAGGGCTAGCTATAACTGTTTTAAGAACGTTAATTTAAGCTAACCATAACTGTCTTAAGAATATTGACTTAAAGCTAGCTAAAACTGTTTTAAAAACGTCAATTAAGGCTTGCTATAACTGTCTTAAGAATGTCAAGTTGGAGCTAGCTATAACTGTCTTAAAAACATCAATTAAGGATAGCTATGTCTGTGTTAAGGCTATAGCTGTTCTAAAATTTTTCTCCTACAATATCTACCCTTCTCCCATACTTATATAATTGCCAATAACTCCCTCTTAAATAATCCCTTTTCTTGCAATATTTTCTTGTGATATTGTGCACTTTTGAAGTTCAGACGCGCTTATTAGAAACACTTTATAGCTGTGTAAAGTCAACTTACCTTTAACTTCTGATTTCACAGAAACCATTGAATCCAATGTTGTTTGTTTCATTGTGATTCTATTTAGATTAGGTTGAGGTTTTGGGGTTATAGGTATATCTTCATCACTACTTATATCTACTATATCATCATTGTCCATGGAAGGACTTGGGCTTCTCGAAGATACATCATGTTTTACTGCCCTTGGTGTCATCATTGACTCCTAATTTAAAAAAAAATTATCATCAAATAAAAAGCACTTTAAAAAATTAATTACTTTTAATTTTATGTTGGAAGTTTGTGCCCTTGAACCTCTTGGAGTTGACTTTCTAGGACTTGGAACAACATTATGTATGTTTATTGTATTGTTAGTACTGGACAATGCAAATGTGCTTTCTTCATTTAAAGGATTAAGTTTTCTTGGGCTCTTTGCATCCCCTCCTATAGAAAATTATTTCCTCTACATTTTATTTTTTTACTTGAGTATCTTACCTATTAATGTGCTGTTCATAATACTCCCTTTGTTACCAAAATTGTGCACACTAGAAATCCTACCAGAAGCACTATTTCCCTTTATATTTTCTGGTAAAGGTTCATCATCATAATTTATAGAATGCAAGCTCTCACTTGAGTCAGAATCATAATCTATTTCTAGTTTCTCCTCATCAGATTCTGAATTGGACTTTAGCATTTTCTCTATTTCCTCCATTTCATCTTCCGAATCAGATATAATAACGTTTTTTTTTTTACTTTTTGGTTTTGCAACATATTGATCATCATCATCATCATCTGACAACATTGGTACACTCTGTTTTTTTGTTAAAATAGCACTTTTACTTGATGACGATGATTCATAGAAAGATTCATCAATAACTAGAATAATAAATAAAATATATCTATTGCTAGAACTAAAATTATATATTATTTTAAACATTCAAAAGACAATCAGTTTAACTGGATAAAACTTCTTAAACATAGCAGTTGTATCCAAAGTATTAAATGAGTCATTTATGAATACATTGAACAACATTGGTCCCTGGTTGAGACCTTGGGGAACCCCTGGTTATTCTATGAACCAACATTATCACAATATATTTTATTTTTAAACAAATAAACAAAACATTCCTTCTTATAGGAAAAACTAGGTTCTAAAAAACCTGTAACTGTTTTAGGAAAAGAACAATAAAAAAGAAATGTATCACGCACCTTCTGGTTCCGCAGTATTTTCGCAGGATTCCGAAATAACGGAGTCATCATCTATAATACACAAGATATTCATTAAATTTGAAGGTTATAATGGATAACACTTTTTTACCTGTGAGTTCACAATAACTCGCCATCGTTGTGTGTAATAAATATTAGTCTTATTGTAAAATTCTTATAAACTTATAGAAAACTGTATAATAGTCGTAAACACAGATTATAAGTTGTTCAATCCATTCTGCACAGACATTTTATGAATTCAAACATAGAGGTTTTTCTACATAGATGAATTCAAACAATTAACGGATATTTTGTTTCGAAAACAAACATTACCAACTTAAAGAAAAGTCAACAACAAAGAACACCAACCAAAGTGTACTATAGAAATGTCTTTGTGTCTAGGGTCTTTGTGTCAAGCTTTATAACCTGAATAATCTGTGCTGTGGAAAGATACATATGTTCAAAAACGTTAATTTTGGATCGTCGGTGCGATAATTTCACATTCAACACCTGCAACACTGCTTTGGTTGTATGATATTAAAAAACGTTGTGTTGGCAATACTTTTAGTGAACGTTTGACGTTTGAGGTTATTTTATTTTGAAAAAAATCCAATTGGACTGCCAATATCATAAAAATGAGTTTAGAATCGATTCCAAAGGACCTAAGAGGCCTAAGGGCTTGTCTAGTTTGCTCCATAATAAAGGTATGTAGGTTATATAAATTTAAAAAAAGTTTAATTTTGTTATATTTTTTAGAGTTTTGATCAATTTGAATACGAAGGATGCGACAATTGTGACGGATTTTTGCGCATGAAGAACAACAGGGATAATGTTTATGATTGTACGAGCTCAAATTTTGATGGGTAAAATTTTAGGTTAGTTTTTTTGTTTATTGGTTCTTAATGGGATTTTTTTGTTTAGAATGATTTCTCTGACCAGTCCTGAGGAAAGTTGGGTGGCAAAATGGCAAAGAATAAGTATGTTATGTAAATCTTCTTGTGGATAATTTTAACAAGATTTTTTTATAGATCGTTTCTGTAAAGGTGTTTATGCTATATCTGTATCAGGAAGGCTTCCCAATGGGATAATTAGGGAAATGAAAAGCCGAGGGATTGTATACAGACCACGTGACACCAGCCAAAGATAAAATTTGAAAAAAACGTACTAAATTTTTTATTAGGTTTAAGGTAAATGAAAGTTTTTTTGTAATAATAAGATTTTTATTTAAAGCCTTTATTCACAACTCTAATTGTGTTTTGTATAAAATTTACAAAATAACTACAATAAGCTTTATTTACAAAACAACAGGATATAAAATAGTTTTTAGTATTTATAAATATTGCCACATTCAATATTTTTACGTGACGTGATAAAATACTTGCCGTTAAAAGCGTATTAATTAGTCAAAAGCACACCACATATAAACCTTTATTTGTGCATTAAACCCTTGGAAAATAAGTTAGCTGCAACCTGGCTAGACTCGTCAATTTCTTCATGAGCCTTTTTGTTGGTGTTATCAAGACCTTTTAAAAGGCTATTTGTAGCCCCCGACAAAAAATCGCCGGCTTCATGAAGACCACTATCGATTGCACTCCCTATTGACTGACTGGTCCCCCTGATTTTTTCTTCTGCGGCCTTTTCGGCCTCCAACAAGCCATGATTTAGTTCGCTGGATTTTTTCGTAATGTAGCTTCCAGTGTCCTTGAGTTTACCTACAAAAAAGTTTTTAGAATTGTGATTTTGGGTTTTTTAAGCATTAATATGTTACAGCTAGGTTTTTAAGCGTTTAAATACAGTTTTGGCGGACAACACAGCTTTTAAAACTCACCGATATTCTCCGATCTACCGCCTTTACGAAAAAAATTAGATTTATTAGTTCTCAGGTCTTTTAAACAGTTAATTTTATATTATAAACTTACTTTCGACTGCTTGACTGGTTTCCTGTGCCTTCTGGTTGATAGATTGACCAATGTTCTGCAATCCCTGGGCGGCAGCTTGTCTTTGAGCTTCAGCAGCCTTTGCAGCTTCACTGGCTTTCTCACTCAAAGCTTCCCCGGCACTGTGGAGACCTTGGTTGACGTTTTGTCCAAAGTTATGTAACCCTTCAGCGGCAGCTTGTCTTTGAGCTTCAGCAGCCTTTGCAGCTTCACTGGCTTTCTCACTCAAAGCTTCCCCGGCACTGTGGAGACCTTGGTTGACGTTTTGTCCAAAGTTATGTAGCCCTTCAGCCGCAGCTAGCCTTTTAGCTTCAGCAGCCTTTGCAGCTTCACTGGCTTTCTCACTCAAAGCTTCCCCGGCACTGTGGAGACCTTGATTGACGTTTTCCTTGGCGTTGTTTAATCCTTGGCTAACATTTTGTCCAAAGTTATGTAAGCCCTCTGCAGCTGCGATTCTTTTAGCTTCAGCAGCCTTCGCAGCTTCACTGGCTTTCTCGCTAAGGTTTTCTTTAGCATTATATAGTCCCTGGTTGATATTTTCCTTGGCATTGCTTAAACCTTGACTTACATTCTGTCCAAGGTTGTGCAATCCTTCGGCCGCAGCTTGCCTTTTAGCTTCAGCTGCTTTGGCAGCTTCACTGGCTTTCTCGCTCAAAGCCTCGCCGGCATTGTGGAGACCTTGGTTGACATTTTGACCGAAGTTTGACAAACCTTGAGCTGCTGCTTGTCTTTTAGCTTCAGCTGCATCGGCAGCTTCACGTGCCTTATCGCTAATAGCGTCGCCAGCATTGTGCAGACCTTGGTTAACACTTTGGCCGAAGTTATGTAAACCTTGAGCAGCTGCTTGCTTTTGAGCTTCAGCGGCGTTGGCAGCTTCACGGGCCTTGTCGCTCATAGCTTCGCCGGCACTGTGAAGACCTTGGTTGATGTTTTCTTTGGCGTTGTACAAGCCTTGGTTGACGTTTTGTCCAAAGTTTGATAATCCTTGAGCTGCGGCCTGCCTTTGAGCTTCGACAGCTTTGGCAGCTTCGCTAGCCTTATCGCCGACCGTATGAAGCCCTTGGTTGACATTTTGTCCGAAATTGTGTAATCCTTCAGCTGCGGCTTGTCTTTTAGCTTCGGCCGCATTAGCAGCTTCCCTGGCTTTGTTGTCGATAGCTTCGCCGGCATTGTGGATGCTCTTGTTCAAGTTCTGACCGAAATCGTGCAACCCCTTGGCTGCGGCTTGTCTCTGAGCTTCGGCCGCTTCGGCAGCTTCGCGGGTCTTGTCGTTGATGGCGGCCCCAAAGTTGTGCACACCCTGCGCAGCTTCTCTCCTCTTAGCTTCAGCAGCTTCGGCCGTTTCATTCAACTTTGCCGCAGCCGCGTCAGCTGCGTTCTGGGCGGTTCTATCGATAGCTTCGCCGGTTTCTTTGAGTTTGTTGTCGATCGATCTCCCCAAATCCTGCGCGCCTTTCTCCAACTCCTTCTTTTTCGCTTCAGCAGCTTGATTGACATTCTTGGCCGTTGTGTTGATGTTTTGATCAGCTTCGTGAAGCTTGTTGTCGATTGTTTGACCTGCTTTTTGTGCGTCATGAGCTGCAAACGGTCAATTTGTATTTTTTTTTTAGAGTTGTTTTGCTGTAAGACTTACCTATATTTTGTTTGGTTTGGTTAATAATTTCACCAGTTTTTTGTACGGCTTCTTCAGCTACATCCTCAACTTTGCTGCCCACAGCTTCGGCTTCGTCGGATGTGTCGCGTTTTTTTCGTTCGAATAGGGCTCCCACTCTGTTGCCAAAGTTCCTGAAGCTGGCTGAAAATTATTTAATTTTATTGGCGATATTTAGCAATTGTTCTGAATGAATCTGGGCCAAAAAGTAAACGACTCGTTAATTTGTTAAATATGTCAAGTATTTGGCACGGTTTTGGTATGTTGGTTAATTACCCTCGTCCAAATAAAATTTTAAAAAGTATATGGTTTATGGGAGGTGGAATTTACTATGAGCCCTGCAAATCTTTTCCAACCTTGGTTTGGTAATTGAAATAATTAAAAGTGATTTAATACCTTTGCTATTTTGTCTTTTGTTTTGAGGTAAGTTGAGGTGGGAAAAAGACAACAAAATATGATAATAAATAAAACATAAATAGTAATATTTGTTTACACTTTGCTTTATACAAATGCAATTAGCTATTCTTATGCCCTATAAAATATACCATCCTATAGACGAAATTGTTTAATAAAAACAGTTATAACATGGGACCTTGAAAACACCTCCACCATGGGTCACCATATGATGTCATCGTATACGTTTCATTTAAGTTTTTTTTAATTAATAAACTTGACGTCGAAAAATATATACTCATATTATATTTATAATTTTGATTTGATTTCAAAAATTCCAAAAATAGAAAATTGACGCGTAAAACTAAGTTTTACCCAACATTGAACTATAAAAATAGAATAGGAAGCATTTTATTCACTTTAATCATATGTTATAAATAAACTATTTTACATGTAAACAGTATTTTATAGAATCGCAAAAACTAAATTTAATTAGTTTTGTATGCCTACTTAAGTAAATATAATCTTTCTAGAACTGTGGTTAAATTATGTAAATTTATTTTTAAATCAAAGATAAAAAGGTTGTTTTTGTTAAATTCAAGGAAGTTATGTTTTATTAAGGATTACATCATCTTAACTTACTTATTAAATAACTATAAAAATTTTGTCACTTCTAAAAATGTTGGTAATTATTGAGGCACGGATGGGATAAAAAAATCAACATTTTTTAAAAAATTACGCAATATTTCAACGACAAAAAACCTTATTTATTTGACTTACTGGTTAAAGAGGTCCACCAAGACATTTTGTAAAAAAGGTAATCCAAAAATCACTGTAAAATAAATAAAAACTTAACCGCGCGGTGTATCACACTACAGTAGGTACTAGAATAGCCATATGTATATTAAGCCGGTGTTAACTTTTTGAGTATTGCGCATCAAATGCTGACCGAAAGCCTATTCATAAAACATTACGTAGGATATCTTTCCTGCAAACAATTCTCACCTCCCTTGTTGCGTTGTTTTCACCAATTATAAATGCAACAATATTTGTTGTAATCATTACATTTAATCAACGATTTTTTACTTACATTTAAACGAAAATGACATCTTAAAATTTACTTAACTAACTACAATCTGCAATAGTGTATCAAATTGGCTGTGAACTGAAAAATAACAAAGTAGACCTTGATTGGATATAATTGTTAAAAATTGTGTTATACAATCCGGCAAGGTCGTTACTATTAATGTTTGATTCTGAAATCTAGAATTTCTTGTTTTTTAGAATTTTTGGACAACATAGATATAAGTTAAACTATGTTTTAAACGGTTCTAATATCAGGAGAGAATCAAGCCACAGAGGTTGTGTCATTTATTTTGTTACTGCCCCTACATGCATAAATTAAAACAATGATGGGACAAATAGTGGAAAACATACGCAGTGGCAAAAAAATTTAAAATTTATATGATGCCCTATTTTTGACCTTAAGATAACATTTATTTGTTTGTTTTAAAATGTCTTTAAACTTTATGAAACTGTTTTAAGGAATTATTAAAACTGTTGTAAAGTTGCTTTTAAATTAAATCTGTTTTAAAAATGTCTTACACTGTTTTAAAGTGTCTTAAAACTTTCTAAAATTGTTGTAAAAAGTACCTATATCGTCTTTTTAGAATTAAACTGTTTTAAAATGTTCAAAAGTACCTCAAAACTTTCAAAAATTGCTCTTATAGATTTTTTTAAATGTCTTAAAATTATTTTTAAAGTATCTCCAAACTTTCTAAAATTGCTCTCATAGATTTTTTTTATGTTTTAAAACGTCTTAAAACTGTTTTAAATTAAAATTTCTCAAAACTTTCTAAAATTGCTCCCAAACAAAATTAATTTGTCTTAAAAAGTTTTTAAAAAAATTAAAACGCCCTAAAACTTTCTAAAACTCTTTTAGAAGTACCTATCTCAAAACTTTCTAAAATCGCCCTCAAGTAAATTTGTTTTAAAATGTCTTAAAACTTTCTAAAACGTTTTAAAATGTCTCAAAACTTTCTAAACTTGCCCTCAAAGTAAATTTGTTTTAAAATGTCTTAAAATTTTCTAAAACTCTTTTAAAAGTCTTAACTGTTTTAAAATATCCTAAAACTTTCAAAAATTGTTCTAAAAGTATTTTAAAACTTTTTAAAATTGCTCTCAAACAAAATCTGTCTTAAAACTAGTCAAACTGTTTTAAAACTTTTTAAATTGTTCTAAGATGCCTTATAAACTTCCTAAAACTGTTATAAAATATCCTTAAATAGTTCTAAATGTATTTCAAAACTTTCTAAAATTGCTCCCAAATAAAATCTGTCTTACAACTTTTTAAACTGTTTTAATTTGTCTTAAAAACTTTTTAAAACTGTTATAAAATACTTATCCTTAAATAGTTCTAAATGTATTTCAAAACTTTTTAAAATTGCTCCCAAAAAAAATCTGTCTTAAAACTATTTTAAAATGCCTTAAAACTATTTTAAATTGTTTTTAAATGCCTTAAAACTTTCCAAAACTCTTTAAAACTTTCTAAAACTGTTTTAAAATGTCTCAAAACTTTCTAAAATTGTTCCCAAACAAAATCTTTTCTAAAACTTTTTAGACTGTTTTTAAATGTCTTAAAACTTTTTAAAATTGTTTTAAAACTTTCTAAAACTTTTTTAGAAGTAGGTATCTCAAAACTTTCTAAAATTGCCCTCAAAGTAAATTTGTTTCAAAATGTCTTAAAATTTTCTAAAACTCTTTTAAAAGTCTTAACTGTTTAAAAATATCCTAAAACTTTCAAAAATTGTTCTAAAAGTATTTCAAAACTTTTTAAAATTGCTGTCTTAAAACTATTTTAAAATGCCTTAAAACTTTTTTAAATTGTTTTTAAATGCTTTAAAACTTTTCAAAACTCTTTAAATGTTTCTAAAACTGTTTTTAAAATGTCTCAAAACTTCCTTAAATTTTTTAACCCTTCTAAAATTGAAAATAGTGCATTATCGTCATTTAAATTTCGGTACACCATGTATATCAAATTCAAATTTGTAATTCGTAAAAATCTGCTTATTAAAATAGCGGCAAATTAAACAAAAAATTACTAGGCTAAGAATCTTCAAAGTAAAAAATAAATTACATTAATTTTAATTATTAATAGTAAACATATTTACTGGAATTAGTTATTCAATTACGTTACTATTTTTAGAGTATTCACGTGGTTTTTCGTTGTAAACAATTTCTATTTACCTTAAATATATTTAAAAAATTGTACTTACTCCTCACTAAACACAAGCACTCCATTTTGCAGAAAAACACAATCAAGACTTGTAAAATCACAAAGCAATAAAATTCCTCACTGAACAAGCGCTAATTTATTCCGTAATATTTATTTTTCATCTCATTTTTTATATTTTTCAACAGTTGGCAGTAAAACTCAAGCAGTAGAAAATACTTCCTATATTAATTATTATTAAATTGCACAACAACAAACAAAAAAGAAAATGTAACAGACTGGAAAAAATTTACTTACATGATTTTTGTTTCTTTAGGGCTAATATTACTAGTCTACTTATGTACAAATAAAATAAGGACTTACGCACTAGATATAAGTTACAAATTGGGAAGATACACATAAATAATAAAATTAAGTTTTGCTGTGGGGGTATTTTAGTGAAAAAAATATTTATTGTTTTTTACTCTAAAATACCCCTTAAACATTGTTGACAATTTACTCTATATATCACATTGGTTTTCAAGTCTACAGCACTTTTATTTTTTGTTATACATATTTTACCAATTTTCTAGAATAAACAAACATTAGAGTTCTAGGGAATTGCTAAAATGAATATTCTTTAGATGCCTAAAATGTGCTGTTTTCACTGGGTTTACTACAAGACCACCTATTTCACTAGGTACCTTGGTTTAATAATCAAATTTCACAATGATTGATAAGAATAAAATCAGAATAAAATTGGCAAATATTAAAAACTATTCAATGTTTATAAAAACCAGACTAATTTTTACTGACACAATTAATTTATAACCTATGTCATTAGTGTGTCAACATTGGTCCAGTCTTTACATAATTTGATAGATTTTTTTATTCCAAAAACTGCAAGTTAAAATATTTCAAAGTGCAATGAAAAAAACCTTTTATTTTTTAACAAAAGATTTCCAAACTTATAAATGATAAAAAAATAATTCAGACTTGCAGTTTTTGGGTACCTTCCATCTCTTTTTAACTAATTCCTCACGTCATGGATAGAAAATCAATGATAATAAATAATAAGCCACCTTGTAAAAATAATTCTTCGATTTT